ATAAATAGAGCGTGAGCAAATGTTTTTAGCATATTGTTTGCAGAATGGGAAAATGCATTTTGAACAATAACAACAATACTATTTCTAAGCAACGCTTATACACAATTTAAATTTTAATTGTCGCAAGAATCTTCTGAGAAGCCCCGCTTTTACGAACATGCCTACATACGTAAGTATACTTGGATGTATATTCGTACAATGTTCATGCGCTTATCGCAGTAATTCAATAAATAACGCGGATATTTCTTGTGATCGGCACTCTTCTTATGTCGCACTGTTTATGATTAAACGCAATATCCGTAGCTAGAAGTATGAAAATATTCCTTAAAAGTTTATATTAATATGGATATTCCTAAATTAGTAATTTCGGAAATTAAATCGCATGTTCTGAGAAACTAAACGAAACTCAATGTAAAAATTTTTCAACATTTTAACTGTTTTGCTTTGACTTTATGCATCATTAGAGACGCGAGAGCGAACCAATGAATGCTTGTATATATTATACCAACACTCACAGACGAGAGAAGCATTTCTGACATGAAATAAAAGTTCCTGATAAAAATTGATCGTTCGGAAGCCGATTAGAATAAATTGTAGATCTCTAAATTTTTTTTAAAACAATATCACAATGCCACCAGAAATTGGAGAAACACCCAGATGAAAGGCGCTGATATGGACAGTAGACTTATTAATTTAACTTGAACAAAGCCTTAACGCGTTTTTTAAAAACTTCAATATTAAATAGATTGTAGCGTAGTTTTCCGATTTAACCAAAATTATCAGCAAAAGTAAATACGTAACTTTACTCCACCCCATCTAAAATCGCAGCTGCTAGTCCACCAAAAGTTTTGAAAAACTTGCTGGAAAACAGGAGGAAAGAGGACTCGCGGCACTACTTTTTACATCAAGTGAACGCGTTATCCCACACTCCTGAAATAATGAGTAATTTTATTGCGATCTCTGGTATCGAAGAAATACGTCCATCGCCATATTCCAGGATATAGGACATCGTGATTTCCAATATTAAAAAAAACAACATTTAAAAGGACAGGTCCTTAATAGCAACAAGGAGATAATTAATGAGGTTCATGTTGAACTGATAAGCTTAAAAAGCAAGATTTTGAAGACAGTTTCCCGAAGTGGATACATAGGCTTAGGGAATGCATTGGAATCAATGGCAATTATGTAGAGAAGATAAAAGGACAAAGGTTACGAATAAATACAAAACAAACTTACCGAACTTTTGTTAATCCTCTCGTATATTTTCCCCGATTGAATCATTGAGTAATTCCTTCACAAGATTCCAAACGAAAAAACAATTTTGCAATATTTTTCCGGTTACATCAATGTAACTGGAATTGTTTTTTCTATTTTTTTTTTATTCGTTCTAAAAATCTTCATATTATAAAATGTGTATTTCAAAAAGTATTGCACTTTTGCTCTCTTTAACTTGATGGTTTAATTAGTACTCGGTTTAACAAATATACTCGCATTGCCTATATTTTGTTCTAATTTGTATAGAATTGATGATATCACCTTTAAATTAGAACGATAATGATTAATGATAGGTTAGGTTAAGTTATGGTGGCCAGCGATCTATTGTATTGATGGCACTTATGTCTAACTAAGACCCATTAAAATCAGACAAAAAGTTTACCACCAAACTTCATTAGCCAGCCATTTCGATTCTCTAATGAAGCACATTAGATCTACGACTTCGACGCCGACTATTTTCGATAGACGATCCATCAGTAGGGTCCCCAAACTTCGAAGCCTAGTACACACTATAATGGTCAGGCAGCCTGAAAGAGAGTTTCAGCAAAGGGTTCCCTTAGAAAACACTTCAACCAACTCTCCACTCAAGATCTGATCCGTCCTTGTATATTTTCAGGCTGTCACCTGCAAAGGATTCGTATTCTGAGGTAGTTATTAGTTAATGTAATTAGTCAGTATCAATCTGTAAGCCATATTTATCCAATATTTTTGAGTGCACCATGGATAGGTGGTCAATTTATTCGACTCTCTTAGCCGAAGTGCAGTTTAGAATTGTTAAAAAGAATCTTCCAATATGACAATTTACCGACGGGCTAGGGCTCCCACTCTCTCGAGTACTGCATTTAAATTTATATTATATCAGTCGAAAAGTATATTTTGAAATAAATACGCTACAAACGATTAAACATTGAACGTGTAAGTTTAATTCAAATTAATTGCATAAGTTGTTGTTTAATGTGCGTAATAAATAAGAATTCCCTTTGTCACTCTAACGATTCTAAAGGTACATTAGGTGCGAGTACTAGTCATACAAAATATTGAATAAAAAGTTTGAACTTTGTGTATCGATGTTTTTTTTTTAGAATATATGTATGTACACATAATTTTCCGAAATTACTAATTTAGGAATATTAAAAAAAAAAAAAAATTCTACAGAATATTAACATACTTCCGTAACATACTATGATTAACTGTGGCTTATGGATTCTGCTTACCACAAGAAGGATCCGCTTTACTTATTGACTGATTGTGATAAGCGTGTGAACATATATGTATGTACAATACGTACGTAGATGTAACTGTTCCAAATCATTGCTTAATAGCTTCATAGTGTTGTTTCTGCCCCTGCAAACAACCCGACTACTCCATGCGCACGTGACAATGTAGTAAACCAAAAATAACAACAAGCCACACAAAAAATATGGTCCTAATAGCATTGCGATGCCCTCGGACTGGACCATATACTTCAACTCTCCATTACATCCGTACATCCGTTTAACTTGTTATGAAATTAGTACAAGAATTCCTTCATGGAGTACTTACAGTGGGTTACTGTATGGAGTGTGTAAGAAAAATGACATTGAGACATAATTTTTAATTTCGAATACAATTCGCTTTTATCAAGACATGCATACATACGTGTGAACATAATTTAATTAAATAATAATTTAATTAATAATTTACCAAATAAATTTAAAATAATATTTTGTTACCAAGAAATATATAATACTAGCTGACCCCGCAGGCATTGTCCTGCGTTAAAATATATTTTTTTGCAAAGAAAAGAAAGTTGAATTTATATTGAGTTGAAAATCATTTATTTACGATTTGTCTACATATTTTTTCCAACGCAACGCTGCTTGATAAACAACATTTTTTGTCCTCTGTTCCGTAGATAAGAGTAGTCCGATTTTTTTGAAAAGGTCTATTCCTGGTCCACTTCCCGAAGAGATGAGTTGACTCTCTATTAATCTAAGCAAAACGTTATCTACAGTATGTAAGAGTAAATCGAGCCAAAAATAAGATTTCTGTCGAATAGGTCAGTCTGTTGTCCACTTCCCGAAAATGTTTATTTCGTAAAAACCTTTTCAGGAATTATAGAAACAATCTGATAAAATTTTTCGTTTGGCAACTTTGGTAGATTATTAGATTTCTCCAAACGGACATGAGATTTTTATATGGGAGGAAATGTGGTTAACAACAAACGAAAAATAGGAATAAACTAATCAGAAAGAAAAAACAAATAAGGTTACTTTTTGAAATTTTCCAGTTATCCGACTTTTTTACAAGAAAATTATAAGCCTTTTTTTTATTTCTAAGCCATCCCAGATCCACAACGAACAACACCTTAAAATGACATCCAGATTGGTCCAGCCGTTTTCGAGCCTTGGCGCAACTAACAAACATTCATTTTTATATTTATATTACGAGATGCGACAATTAAGTAATGACAGCTAATCCATAAATACCGTATATTTAAAAATAATTGAACAATCCCTTCAAAATAGTCCCTTTGGACGGCTATACAACGATTCCAGTCCCTTTTCCATGCGTCCGAACATTTCTAGTACGCTTCGACTGGGATGACCGCGAATTCCCTCGTCATGGCCGCCTTGATGTCCTGAATCAACTCAAACTTGGTTCCTTTGACCACCGATTTTGTTCTAGAGAACAAAAAGAATTCACAGGATGACATATCGGGCGAATAAGGCGGTTGTTTCAACACAGCGATCCCATTAGAGGCCAACTGATGGGGCACCCTGAGGGCGGTGTGGCAAGGTGCGTTGTCGTGATGAAGGTTCCAGTTACGAGCGATGTCTGGGCGCACGCTGTTGATTCTTTTTTGGAATCTTTCGAGTACTTGGCGATAGTAGATTGACTTACGGTTTGCCCCGGTGGAAGAAATTCTTTGTGGACGATTCCACGACTATCAAAAAAGGCAATAATCACCGTTTTGAAATTTCCTCGTCTTCAACGCTTTCACGACCCTACTTAAACTCTTTATGCCACCGAAACACCTTGGCACGACTAAGAGGACTATCACCACGCGTGACATATACGAGTATACTCAAACTTAAACAATTTCGGTTAATTGTACGTTAAAACATGAACAATCATCGGCTATCAAGAGAATGATAGCGATACGCCAATTGGCCTAATAGTTGACTACAGAGGAGCACCTATTGGATTACTCCAATAGACTATAGGGTCAAAAAATGTTCAGGCTTTTTATTGTGTGTGAATATATTTATATTTTCCGATTCTACATACAACATGCAAAACAATTTTCTCTCTTTTTAATTGCTCACGCTCTATTCATAAGCATGCATATGATGCTATGCATCTAAGCTTAAAATTTTTACATAGAAAATTCAATTATTAAACAACAGCAAAAATATAAACTAAAATCAAATTGGTATGAGTTTTTTAAGAATTGTGGGGAAAGTACCTTACTGAGAGCATTAAGAACTAAATACAATGCAAGTATTCAGAACTAAATACTCTCAGTTAGGGACTTTCCATAAAAATCTTAACAGCATTCATACCCTTTTGGAATATTAAAACCGTTCAGCTATTTTCTATAGCAATAATTGTATATTTAATATTTATAATGCATGTAAGCATTTATGTTTCAATGGAATTTTAATACGTCACTGAGGCGCTACGCTACTGATAACTCTAGCTTGCAATCACCGCCAGTTAAAGCTTGCACGCTCTTAATGATATTACACTGCCGACACCAATTAGACGATGCAGTCGTCGATTGACATTGTAAGCGAGAACAGCTGCAGCTGCTTTTAGCTCAAACAAAATATGTCGATAGTGAAACTAATCGTTATTATAACTGTAATTGTGCCAATAACCCAGGTGGTGGCGGGAAATTATTGTACGAAACGCGACGAAGTGAGTAACAAGTGAATACAAACAAAAAGAGAAGAAAATATATATATAATGCAAAAATCACATAAAGTAATGAATAAATCTTTTCTCTTCCTCCCTCTCAATCGTTTTTCCATCGCACGAAAGCATGGCAATCAAGTTAGATATTGTTGCACCGGTAGCAAGGGCGATGGCTGGAATTGTGAGTTTATCTGTGATAATGACTGTGAAAATGGCACATGTATTGCTCCGCAGAGATGTGTGTGTAACAAGGGTTTCAAAAACAGTGCTGGGCCACGATCGTCGTGTGTGCCCATAGAGTCGGTTCTACAGCCACGGATATGCAGCCAACACTGTCGCAATGGCACATGCGTGGAGGGTCTTTGCACCTGTGCACCGGGTTGGACGTTGCAAGCGTCGGCGAGTGGCGACATTTGTATACCACAGTGTGTGAAAACCGTTGGGAATGTGACTCACGGCTGTATTAACGGCTATTGTGTTGCACCGGGTGCATGTATGTGTAACGAAGGCTACGAACTGTTGCCAAATAATGAATTCGAATGTACCATTAACCCGGTGGCGAATGATCATTATTTAAAACGAAAGTTGGTGGAAATTTGGAAAGACTATTTCTGGCTTGTAATTGGTGCCGCTGTGTTGCTTATACTTTTGTTCGCCTGTTGCTGCAGATTATGCTGGAAATGTTATCTAAATTTTGCAAAAGCTAAAAGTCACAAGGATTCAAGAAAAGATTGCATCGAAGAAAACTGTCAACCATTGGTTTAAAACAAAAAAAAAGTACTACACTTAAACTTTTATTTACAAATTCTCATCCCATAACTTCTTAATTTCTATTTTAGAAAATGATGCGGAAGCTCTACAAAGAAGCTAGTCAGTTATTGAGTTCTAATTTCAGACTCAACCAAGACACACCACAAGTGTTATTATTCATGTTCATTAACTTTATTTAATTTAGTTAGCATAATTTAATATTTTAATTTACTGTCTGTGATGAATGAAACTAAATATGAAAATGTGTTTGAAAACCAAAATGTAGATTAAGACAAAAAAGTAAGGTCTCAGGAATGTTACTGTCATAAAATTTTTAAACACTGGAAATGAAAGACAAGTCCGGTATTGGACAATTAGAAAATGCTTCTGTTCCTTCAGAACGGAACTCCTGAACCAGCACGATTACTGTTTTTTTTTGTGGACATAACTGGCACTAACCGAATCCCGGGCAATTCTTCCAAACACACAGTAAATCCAAAAGCCAAAAACGGGGCCGGAAATTTGAAAACATTTTCAATAATTGCAAAATTCGCTACTCAGGGGTTTTTGAGGTCGCTGATTACGAAACTGATATTATTTAATCTATGAAGTTTTTAATTTTAATATAAAACGTTTTCGGGGGTTGTTGTTGTTGGAGCGATTCTCTAACCCCGCTTAGGTACAAGGTTGATCAATCTAAGACGCCGAGGTCATCTAGTCAAGACGAGAGTCGAGTCGGTATAAGTAGGAGTTTAAGCTGCTACAATATCCAGACCTTAGCTGTGCCAAGGTCATGCAGGACTCTAGATGCAGCTCGAGCAGCTGCAATGGGTGATGGTTTTACTCCGAGCGCGCCATTCACTGGAAGGGAGTCTTTGAAGGTGTTGACTGACTCCTGGTGAATGGCGTTGAGTGCCTGTCTGTACACCGTCCTGTCCAGCGGTATTTGTACATATTGCTGGGTTGTGTCCTTTAAATCTAGTACTCCTTTTCTGTTGTGCCTAGGTGGAGGTTCAGTTTCAATTAGGTGCCTATTGGAGTGCTCCCTGCGGTAACATTCCAATAGGAACTGCTTGCACAGCAAAGCATTATACTCTATAACTCGTAACGTAGATGCTTCACTGTGCAGGTGATGCTCCGTCGACATCAGGAGGTTTCCTGTCGCAGACCTTAGGGCGGTTTTCGGGGTTTCTGGGGTCGCTGATTAGGAATCTGATCTTATTTTAAAAAAAAAAGTTATGAATTCAGATTACTGAAAATGAAGTACAAAAAAATTGAGTTTCAATGAAATTTATTATTCAGTATTCAATAATACAATCTAGTATCCATTTATAAAAAAAAATCGAGCAAATTTTTTTCTTTTGGAAAGAAACAGAAATATTTCCAGAATACCAGAAAAAGTATTTGAGGGGGGTATGTGGTGGTACTTTTAATTTATTCACTTTCTAATTTTTTTTTATTCTCTAAAATTTTGAGTAATGAAATACACACGGCCGGATGTACACAATAAACCCTCAAAAATGGTCGTTTCTAATAGTAGGCATACCGACCCAGCTATTTCAGGTATTAAAAGTCAGTCTAAACTTTTTTCCGGCTTTTGGCCAGGCTTTGACTTTTCAAACCACTGTGACACATGGTCCTGCTTTAAGTCCTAAAATTTTAGTTCGACGTTCCTTTTCAATCAAAAAGTTTCTGTAAATAAAGTTTCCAAACTGAATGTAGTAAAGACGCAAGTGGGAAATTTGTCGGGCTATAAATAACATGGTTAACACAGCATCAAACTTGACTTACGAGTACATTATGACAGAGACTTTTAAAATTTCTCTAAAATAAGTATAACTTTGAATATTCTCAACACGTCGAACAGCTGGTGGGTCACTTCCAAAGGCTTGGATGCGCCGTGATTCCCTGGTTACACTTTATTGACAACCACCAATCCATTAAAACCTCCATACCACGAGGCACGCACACATGTGAACTGACTATAGTTGAAGCTTTAAGAAAAGATGTCCGTCTTCGGTTTCAGCAAGAAAATTGTATATAAGATTTTATTTTTATTTTAAGAATTAATTAATTAAAATTATCTATTATAATAATTATAATTTAAAGCGTTTTACTATGTAAAAGAGCGTTATATTTTTTTAACTTGAGCTGATACAAAAATATCAGCACGGGAACCGAAATTGTTTTCAGAAATCGATATCATGTAGCATAACTCCAATCACCAAAAATGTCATAACATAGTCTAATTAAAATATTATTCTAAAGCTGATATTCTTTCTTAGCGCAGACACCGCTTACGCGCTTATAGCCGAGTTAACAACAACCTTTTCCTCTGGATTTGGATATACCAAGTACAGTTAGGTGCTTCTCTACCAGGAGCTCTTCTTCTGCTTCCTCCGGCAAGTATTTCATTGAAAACTTTCAAAGCTGGAGTATCCTTATTCAACCGGAGAACAGATTCGCTGAACTATGTCAATGTCGCCGTATAACTCTCGTTTCATCGGTTACGGTATTCGCCGATTCTAACTCTCTCGAAAACGCCAAACGCCGACTTATAGCAGAACGGGAACGATGAACAACTTGCAGAGTTTGGTTTTTGTTCGTCGAAAGAAGACTTTACATTCCAATTCCCTACTCAATCCAAAGTAACACCTGTTGGCAATAGTGATTCTGCGTTGGATTTCAAGGCTGAGATTATCATTGGTGTTAAAACTGGTTTTGAGGTTGACGAAGTTATCTACGGCTTCAAAGTTACGACTGTCAACAATGACCTAGAAGCTAGTCGTGCATGCGATGACTGTTTGTGTGGCGACAGGAGATTTTTCAACTTCCCTCATTCCCTACAAGACCCAGAGCAGAAGAGCAAGTCGAGTCGAACCGTCCTTGTGTTTGCATTCTTTGCTGCACAGAGGCAGGTGCGTATCATTGCTACTACAAGATAGTGGTCCGAGTCGATATTGGGTCCTCGGATTGAACGCACCTCAAGAACACTGCATACATGTCATCACTCCACAGCCAAATAGTTGAGGGCATGGGCGCAAATCAGCGTTATGCTAAAAAATTTCGATTTGATGCGGACTATGGCGGGATGTTCATCCATGGGGATGAATGATAGTACCCGGCGATGGAGTTTTTAACCCTCCACGAATCTTACATCAAACTTGCACTCCTTTATAAGGCCGCTGTAGTAAATACCATAAAGAGCTATTCATTTCCGTCCTTGACTTGTCGGTTTAGCTAGGATATCAACCAGCTTTGATATATTTGATATAAACCGGATAATGCTACCTATAGTTTATAAAGCCTTCAAATTAATGGAAAAATAATGGATTACTTTTTAATAGACCTAATGTAAGATAAGATAGATCCAAATCAGCAGAAATACTTACTTGCAATTTAAATTAAAAGTATCAAAGCTCCGATAATTTTTGTATTGTGGCCACACAACGCTTTAATTCAGAAAGTCTTCGCTTACCAAATTTTGGGTACTTAAGACAATCTCCACCACTTTATTTTGAACTGCAGCTTATTTTAATCAAATATTTTGGTTTAAAGCTCTACAGTTTAGTTTAAAACCTTTTTAGAAAGCAAAAAAAAACTTCGTCGCGAAAGCTAAAGTGAGACTTTCAAGCTTAAGCAAGCTTATACATACGAGAAAGCCCATCTCGAAACGGAAGTGCAGAAATAGCTATTATATACAATATATGTATCTATATACATATATATGTATATGGTTGTTGATTGATTTTTTGTTTCTTTTTTAATCAAAGCAACAAAATAGTTATCAATAAGTTTTCTATATTAAAAAAAAGGAAGTAAGAATAAGCTTACTGTTGTTGATTTGGTGTAAAGAATAAAAGCACTTGTTTTAGTTCGAGAAAGATAAATGGGCTGTAAAATTAGTAATTAATATACTAATTAGGGCTACTGAATAATTGTTAACAATGTCGATAGGACAAAAAGCCAATAATATTTTGATCGAAAGATCACAATTTTGATATTTAGTTTGCAGGCGAAGTACGAAATCACCCCGGGACAATTTCCGTCAGTAAAAATTAGAGAGTATGAAAGAGATATGAACCTTAAAAGCAAAAATAATTAATCTTAACACTTTAATACGAACTTTGCACTATCAAAAGTAATTCATTTTTTATATTTAAATGATTAAGTGATATAAACGACTTAATTAAAACGTAATGGTACTTGGTTAAAGAAAATGTCGCGGAAGTGAAGTTAACTTTTTATTTCCAGAAATGCGGGTGCGTGACTTGCATGACATGTGGTTTCAACAAGACGGTGCCACATGCCCCACAGCACGCGTAACAATGGACTTATTGAGAGGCGAGTTCGCTATACATTTTTTTTCTCGTTCGGGACCGGTCAATTGGTTGCCTAGATAGTGCGATTTAACGTATTTAGACTATTTTTGTGGGGCTTTGTTAAATCTAATGTCTATACACACAAGCCCGCTTCAATTGACGCATTGGAGGACAATATTGAAGCATTTATTCGTGAGATACCGGCCGAAATGATGGAAAAAGTATGTTTGCAGATGGACCATTTGAGGCACAGTCACGGTCAACATTTGCATGAAATAATCTTCAAACATTAAATCATATGGACCGTAATATCGATTTAAATAAAGATTTCATGCATTTTTTCTGAATTTTATGTTTTTTTTTTTAACTTTCATATAGCTTTTTAAAAATCACCCTTCATAATGTGTTCTTAATTTTTGCGTTGCAAGTTCGTTTTGATTTTCTCTAATTTACAAACAGCAGTGCCGACCAAATAAGCCGAAATAAAATGGCGAAACAAGGTTGCAGCTAAGGTGATGTTAGTCATATTTAAAAGGATAAATTAAGCTCTTTTGAATATGCTTAGTAATTATATTATCTTCGATTGGCAGAGTCGGCGAATAGTGTTAAATACTTCCAATCCCATTTTCGTATTTCGATCATTCTTTCTGAAAATCTAAGCGAAAAATTGGTGGCCTTTCAAAAGGATTTGTATATTTATGGTTTTACGGCAATAAAGCATTTAGAATCACGTCAATATTGTAATACAGGAATTTTTGAATTGATCAAATAAAAACGCCATAAATTACCAAGTTTAATACTTACGTAAGTGTTTGCGATAAGCTCGCTCGATTTAATTAATTTTTTGAGCTTCACCCAAACATCCTTTTCAGACTGCGACCATCGTGGAAGATTTGACGCCTCAGTCGCCTGAAAACCAGACATTCGTGCTCCAGCGATTCGTCCTCCTCTGTGCATGCTGTGCACATATCTGATTCCACTTTATTTAGCTTATGACGATCTCAGAGGTATATGCCCATTAATATTCACATCATAATGTTGTTGTTGTTGTTGTAGCGGTTCGCTAACCCCGCGTAGGCACAGGCTTGATTAGTCTAAGTCGTCGAGGTCATATAAAAGTAGGCCCAGGAAACGAGCTGTTTCGACGGGGTTGGACCAAAGGGAGAGGGGGGTTAGATGAGTAGGTTTGAGGGGGCATGTGAAGAGGTGGTTAGTGTCGTGCGGGGACTCTACGTTAGGTATGCTGGGGTCTAGTCTGGATAGGTAGGAGTTTAACCTGCTACAATATCCAGACCTGAGTTGTGTCAGGGTCACGCGGGTCTCTCGAGGCAGCTCGAGCTCGTTGTCTGCTAT